TATATTATATTATATTATATTATATTATATTATATTATATTATATTGGGCTGCCACCTTACCGTGGTGGAGGGGTTTGAGTGTCCCAATGATCCTAGGAGCTATGCTGTCAGGGACTTCATGCCCTAGTAGGGTCACCCAAGGTAGACAGGTTCTAGGTGAGGGACCAGACAAAGTGCAGCTCAAAGACCCCTATGAAGATTAAAATTAATGGAACCAATGTTCCCTCGCCCAGACGTGGGTCACCGGGGCCCCACTCTGGAGCCGGGCCTGGACGAGGGGCACGCTGGCGAGTGCCTGGTGGCCGGGCTTTTACCCATGGAGTCCGGCCGGGCACAGCCTGAAGAGGAGATGTGGGTCCCCCTTTCCATGGGATCACCATCTGTGGGAGGGGCCAAAGGGGTCGGGTGCAATGTGGGATGGGTGGTGGCTGAGGCAAAAACTCAGGCGTGGGAGGAGTTAGGAGAGGCCATGGAGAATGACTTTCGTACGGCTTCGAGGTGTTTCTGGTCCACCATCTGGTGTCTCAGGGGGGGAAAGCGGTACACCACCAACACTGTTTATAGTGGGGGTGATGTGCTGCTGACCTCAACTCGGGATGTCGTGGGTCGGTGGGCAGAGTACTTCGAAGACCTCCTCAATCCCACTGGAACGTCTTCCGCTGAGGAAGCGGAGCCTGAGGACCTTAGGTTGGGCTCTCCAATCTCTGGTGCTGAGGTCACCGAGGTGGCAGGGCCCCAGGGTTGGATGAGATTCGCACTGAGTTCCTTAAGGCCCTGGATGTTGTAGGGTTGTGTTGGCTTACGCGACTCTGCAATATTGCTTGGACATCGGGGGCAGTTCCCCATGATTGGCAGACCAGGGTGGTGGTCCCCCTATTTAAAAAGGGGGACCGTAGAGTGTGTTCCAACTATAGGGAGATCACACTCTTAAACCTCCCTGGTAAGGGCTATTCAGGAGCTCTGGAGAGGAGGGTCCGTCGGATAGTTGAACCTCGGATTCAGGAGAAGCGGTACGGTTTTCATCCTGGTCGTGGAACATTGGACTAGCTCTACACCCTCAGCAGGGTCCTGGAGGGTGCGTGGGAGTTTACCCAACCAGTCTACATGTGCTTTGTGGACTTGGAGAAGGCATTCAACTGCGTCCTTCGGGGAACCCTGTCCAGGAGTATGGTGTACCAGGACCTTTGATACGGGCTGTTAAGTCCCTGTATGACCGGTGTAAGAGCTTGGTCCACATTGCTGGCAGCAAGTCAGGCTCATTTCCAGGTTAGCTGGATTCTCCCTTAGAGACAGGGTGAGAAGTTCGGTTATCCGGGAGAGACTCAGAGTAGAACCGCTGTTCCTCCACATTGAGAGGAGCCAGTTGAGGTGGTTCGGGCATCTGGTAAGGATGCTCCCTGGATCCCTCTCTAGGGAGGTGCTTCGGGCATGTCCGACTGGGAGGAGACCCTGGGGAAGACCCAAGACATGTTAGAGAGAGCCTGGGAATGCCTTGGAATCCTCCCAGAAGAGCTGGAAGAGGTGGCTGTGGCAAAAGATGTCTGGGCTTCCCTGCTCAAGCTGCTGCCCCCGTGACCCGACTTCGGAACAAGCGGAAGATAATGGATGGATGGATACATTTCAAAACTCTAAATAATATTTATCCTTCTAACAAGTTTATCAGAAATATATTTAAAATTGAATGTGATAACTGTTATATATGTCAGGAACCTGAAACAACAGAACATCTGTTTTATTTCTGTGATTCTGTGAACACGTCATGGAAAACCCTTCACGATCTTCTGACCATAAAATCCATGAACTCCTTCTCCCCTCAGAATGTCTTATATGGATATGTATCTGAAAATGAGATTTAAAAAATTAATACTTTATTAATAACATTACCATAATCTTAAAAATGTATATACATAAATGCAAGTATGGCAAATGTAAGCCATTATGGTTTGTATTCATACAAGAACTCCAGATGTTAAAACTTTCATTAGACAGTGCTAAAAAACCACAAGCAAAACAGCTCTCTTATCATTATCTTATATAGCCCTCTGACAAATTATCTGAGTAGTTATGTAGAATGTTAGATAAATAGTTCTGGGCTTTACTTTTACTTTTATCATATTATTTGCTAATTCTCTGATACTAATAATGTTACTTAAATTTTAATTATGTGACTGAATAATATGTTAAATTGTTTATGCATATGTTGACCTTAGGATGTATGACAGAAGATTTTTTTACATGTTTATATGCATCAAATTATAATTTGAGATTGTCATTTGTTCTTTTGTTCTAAAAAAAAAAAAAAA